CCCGTTGTTGAGTTACGTCGAGGTGATCGACAACGCCATGTTCCGCGCTACCTTGACATTTATGAGGTTATTTTACCTTCCGCCAATTCTTGTGTGAAGTATCTATTGCATGACGTTCTTAGTTATGACCGTTCATCTGCAAGTTATCAAGCTTTCACGGAAGCTCTTACCCGTTTTTAGAGCCTTGTACTTTCTCTGAAGCAGTTATTCATTAATGCTGGCGTGAAGCCATGCAACAGGAGTTTGATGCCCTAGTGGCTAATGGCACATGGGAATTAAAGGACTTGCCTCTTGGTAAGAAGCTTGTCAGTTTGAAATGTGTATTTAAAATAAAATACCGGCCAGATCGCATCATTGAGAGGTTCAAAGCACGTCTGGTTGGACAAGGCTTCACACAGAAGGAAGGCGTTAATTTTCATGAAACTTTTGCGCTTGTAGCCAAGTTAGTTAAAGTTTGTTGTGTTCTCGCTCTTGCGGCATGACGGGGTTGGTTTCTTTAACATTTAGAAGTTAATAACGTTTTTCTTCACGGTGATCTCGATGAAAATGTGTATATGAGTGTTCCAGATGGTTTTGCTCGACCAGGGGACACACGAGTATGTCGTCTTCGCAAGTCACTATACGGGTTGCGCCAAGCGTCATGAAACTGGTATAAGAAGTTCCCCATGGCTCTTTTGTCATTCGACTTCAGTTGTTCAAGGGCTGATCATTTTCTATTCTTGTACCGGAAGAATGGGGTTTTCGTCTTCGCTCTTATCTACATTGATGATATTGTTCTAGGCGGAGATAGTTGGGAAGGGGTCAAAGTTTTTCTGAAGCAGGAGTTCAACATCAAGGATTTATGTCCTTTGAATTATTTTCTGGGTATTGAGGTTGCGAGATCACGTCATGGGATCTCGTTATCGCAACGAAAGTATACGTTAGACATTCTGGATAATGCTGGTATACTTGGGGTTAAACCTTGTTCTTTTCCCATTGAACAGAATCATCATCTTACTCGTGTAGAGGGTCCAGCAGCGCATGATCCATCAGGATATAGACGGCTGGTTGGGAAACTTTTATACCTAACAGTTACTCGACCTGACATCACGTATGTGGTGAACATACTGAGTGAGGTTGTGCATTCACCTCGACAGCAACATGTGGAAGCTATTTATCGAGTCTTTCGCTACTTGAAGCACGCGCCTGGTCGTGGTTTATTTCTTCCGTCCGACAATAATTTAGTTTTGATTGCTTACTACGATGCAGATTGGGGTGGTTTCCAGGAGACACATCGTTCCACTTCTGGGTATTACATTCAACTTGGTTAGAGTCCCATATCGTGGAGAACTAAGAAGTAGTTATTGGTAGCACGGTCATCAGCTGAGGCTGAATACAAGTCAATGGCAGTTACAGTAAGCGAATTAATTTGGTTGCGCTGATTATTGCAGGAGTTGGGTGTGCTTCTCAATGAGCCTACTGCTTTGTATTGTGACAATCAAGCAGCATTGCACATTGCGGCAAATCCAGTTTTCCATGAGCGCACAAAGCACGTGGAAATGGATTGTTATTTCGTGAGAGAACGTGTGGTGTCTAAGGAAGTTGAGCCTAAGAAGATACCCACAAGTGATCAAGTCGCAGATGTGTTATCAAAGGTTTGGGTAGTGAGCAGTTCAATTACCTGGCTTCCAAGCTAGGTCGTCATGATATTCACGCCTCCGCTTGAGGGAGAGTGTTGCGGTTCATATATCAAGTTGGTTATGGTGTTAATTGTCACTAGTTAAAGTTAGTGGTGGTAATTTGATATTAACTCATCTATATAGGCTTAGTCTATATATATATATATGTATATATATATATATATTGCTCTTGTGGGCTACTGTAGCTGCCATGTTGGAGTTGTGAGTTCGTTAATATAAGTTCAGCCGGCTTCTCCGTGGATTAGTCTCATTCACATCGAACGGGAATACCACGTAAATCGATCGTGTTTTCGTTTTTCCGCGTTCTACATATTTTAAAAACTATGCAAAAAAGTTTAAATTCTGACTTAAAATGAGTGAGAAATGATCCGTTAAATATTAGGGGGGAAATTAAAAACTTTTTAATAGAGAGAAGAGGCACTTATGTGACATATGATAATTGGTTAATGCGCGCTTACTAATTTGTAGGTTAGTGACCGGATTTGCTCGAAGTTTTCCCCGAAAATTCTAGCTCAATTTGTTCGCAAGATGCAATTTACGGAAATAATATCAAATAGAGTTTATAGTTAGATGAGGGATTTTTATGTCCAATCAAGAGCTGCACGTGATGGAGAACTTCCCAGATCCCCAATCAAATCAATCCGAGCTCCCATCAACCTATGAAAAGTCAAAACTCAACAACACAACAAAAGGAGAACTATTTTCAGGGGTGAATCGTGAATGAGAGAGAGTGGCCAATTAATTAATATATCGAGAGTCTATATATATATATATATATATATATATATATATATATATATATATATCGAGAGCTGATATACGGAAGGAAGGAGACAAAACGTGTGGGACTTGGGTGGCGGTATAAATGGGCACCGCACCTCCCATAATGATTAATAGATTACTAACAATTTTAACTTGTCACACACAATTGGATAATAGAGTGCAAATCTCCAATTAATTATTTGGATTAATGTATTTGTTTAGTTCGAACTTTTTTCGAAATTACTAAAGGTCAATGCTAGTGTAAGGTCAAATCAGTCATTTACAATAACAATTCAAGTAAGAATAGACATTTCTAAAAAATGAGAAGCATAGTAAATACGACTCCCTCTCAAACTCCGAAATTCATTGGAATTTTGATAATGGTCGACCATGTTGGGTTTAAACACATTGGGCGGCGTCGTTTTAATGTGTTGAGTAGATACGTGGTTAATAGATACGCCTCTTGGTGAAGAGACGTGTTGGTGAAGAGACGTTTTAATGGATTGTGGTCTGTAAAGATGAAGATAATCATGCGCTCTTTAGGCGTATGGGCGGCAATTGAAGGTGATGACCCTGTCGATGAAGAAAAAGATCAAGGCGCGCTGGCCGCTATATCGCAATCTGTGCCGGACTCTGTTATGATGTCAATTGCAGCATCAGAAACGGCGGCTGAGGCATGGGAAGAGATTCGTAAGATGCGAATTGGAGAAGAGCGTGTGAAGAAATCAACCATTCAAGCGTTAAAGCGCCAATTTGATCGATTGATTATGGATGATTCCGAAGAAATCGGAGAGTTTGCAACAAAATTGATTTCACTGGTGAGTGAGATTCGTACCATGGGAGGAGAACTGAAAGATGTATAAGTTGTGGAGCGGCTTTTCAGTGCAGTTCCTGACCGGTTCTCATCTATCATTAGTACGATAGAACAATGGGGAGACGTGGAGGCAATGTCCGTGTCTGAAGCTGTAGGAAGATTGCGGGCATTTGAACAGAGTACACGTAGTCGCCGGAGTGAACGAACTGAATATGGGAATGACCAACTTATGATGGTGACTCGTGCGGAGATCAAGAACATGATCCAAAAAGGAAGGATCATTGGAGAAGGGTCTGGTAATAGGCCACATGGAAATCGTCGAGGTGACAATGATGATAGAAGCAGTTCTGATGAGAAAAAAGAGAAGAAACATCGGAAGTTTGATAAAAGTAAAATCAAGTGCTTCAATTGCAATATAATGGGGCATTTTGCCTCTGAATGTCGAAAGCCGAAACGAGAAAAAGCAAACCTCGCAATAGAGGAAGATGATGACTTGGACGAACCTGCTTTGCTTACACCTGTTGGATCGTTGAGCGCGAGACGATGGGATTTTTCTTCGGTGGTTTCCCCTTCAAACAAACCCTAAAACAGCAAACTCAGATCAAGTGAAGGAATCGAGTGATTGAAATATTTAGTAAGAAGAAGAAGATGAATTTTGATTCCAAGGTTCTCAAACTCTAATATGTTAGTGAAACGGGGCGAATTGGGCTTTGTGTATAAAACGCAGCAATGACACAAACAGAATCAAAGTGGGCCAGAAGTTCAAGCCCACTATACTGAATCTTCTTCTTCGTGATGAAGCGAAGACTTCTTCCCAGAACTCTGCTTCTGCAAAACAGAGTTAGCTAACAGCAATATACAAATATCAAATCCAAACTCATTCACACACACAAACCGAATTTTTACGTGGTATCCGATATTGGGAGAATGAGGATCCCAATATCGACTAATCCACGGTAGGAGACTCTCCTCTTGAGATCTCCTACGTAAGCACTATATCTGTGTCTCAGTGTTTTACAGGACTCGGCAAGCTTCTACTCTGCTCCCAGCAGCTCTACCTAGCTCGCTATTGATGAACAATCTTCCTGAACAAACACTCCGGTTTTCCCAGCTATTCACTCTGAATAGCTGTACTGATTGCCTCACAAAGACTTTAGCTTCACACGCTGTATCTTTTGCTCTCTCAGAATCACAAGGGAAAACTGTGTTATGCTACTCAATCAAACTGCATCTTATAGTTGTACACCAGAGCCGTTGAAGAGAAATCTTGACTTGCCAAATATGCTGCATCCATTCCTGGCAAGATTTCATTTCCTTCTATTTCCATATTGCCTTGAATCTTCCTGAATCACGCAATCAATTTCCTTCTTTTTGCTGTTGCCAATCCTCAGGCTATACAGGCTGGCATCGATCTGCTTCTCTCAACATTCTCCCCCTAAGCATGTCATTTGCTCCTGTCTTTGCTGCTTTCATATATTTCCTGCACAACTCAACAAACGGTTGGTGCAGCCTGTCCCAAACAGCATACTTTACATAATACTGATGAGTTTGAAAAGAGAATGGAATCCATTTTATTATTAAAAACCAGAAGACTCGAAACAAGCAGAGATGCGCTCAATCATTGATAGCTCGATAGACTAAAACAGTTGTAACCCATAACCAACCCTTATTGACTCGATGACATAGAACAAACCCAAGATTTCGACTGACCAGACCAGTGGACTCCCCCTAAACAGATGATCTATCTAAAACTCATACTCAGGTGGAGACTCATAATCAGACACACCATCTTCCTCTTTCTCCTGCAAGTCACTTGGTTCAGTCTCCTTAGCCAGATCAACTTGAGCCTTACACAGCTCTAGATAACAAAGTTCCTTGCTCTTGATGGACTGAATTTGCTGATCTAATGCCACCGATGCAGCATCTAACAGAGCATGAACTAACTGAGTCTTAGGGATAGCAGCAAGCTTTTCTCCCCCTGAGCAAATGACAGGCTTCCTCCTACCAACAGAAGCATCGACACGGACAAGGATATGCTGAGCTCGCAAATCCTCACGAATGTCACAGAGCAGGATCTTGTCCGAAAGATCAATACCAAGAGAATACAAGAGACGTGTTATCTGAGGACCAAAAGGGAGAGGGCCAGAGTAGTTCTCATCTCCGTACATAATCATGTGGGCAAACATGAGCGAGGAAAAGTTGAGATGAACTCTATCACGAGCATTAGCCATAATCCACACATCAGAAGGGTGAGCTAATTCATTTCTCGACACACTACGAGGAAGCAGTATGCGAGTAATAAAGAAGTACATAACTTTGAAGAGATCCGCAAGCCTTCCTGCTGAAAGTCGATTGGGAAAATGACGACCAATGTCATGAGTAAGAGATTCCAGTGCAGATCCATAGTCAAAACGGATCTCAGCAAAGTCATCATTGGTGGCAGCCGAGGACCCTTGACTAGGGAGCCCTAGGATTTCTGCAAGCAAGGAAGGGGTGACCAGTATCTCATGATGATACACCACCGTGGTGAAGAATGATGGACTAGGACCAGGACCTCTCTTCAGGCTGGCATAAAACATCCTTACAGCTTCAGGACATTGGCTAAACCTGCGATTCTCAAAGAGAGAATCCCACCCAAGATTATGGATGAGCCCAGAAACATCCAGATCATACTTTTGAAAGGAGGAAGGATGAATGGTGAAGGATGGATAGAGAGGGCGATGGCGGAAATATTTGAGATAACGCTCATAGCGTGCAGGGTTATGGAACCCTTTGTTGTTGAAGGTAACTGCAGGATGCAATTGAGGATGAATAGGAGCCATTTTTTGGAAGGACAGAGGTGTAGGGGAGTGGTGTGAAGGTTGTGAATGAAGAGAGGACGAGAAGAATACTGCATATATAAGGGCAGCCTCTAGAGTTAGAAAAGGAAGAGTGAGGATTTGATTAGGGAAAGAATCAATGAATGACAGAATCAGGAAACAGCCCTGATTTTAAGGGATCATAGAAATCTCTTCCTGTGAAAATAGGCCAAGTTCCCTACGAATGTATAGAAATTTTTCAGCCCCTAAAGGCTTAGTAAAGATATCAGCCCACTGGCAATCAGTGCTAATGAATTGAAGATGAATCTGACCATCTTGCACAAGATCCCTAATGAAATGATACCTAACTTCTATATGTTTGGTTCTGGAGTGTTGAATGGGGTTTTTGGTCATATTAACAGCACTAGTGTTATCACACATGACTGGTAGAGAACCAAGCAGAATACCATAATCTCTAAGCTGATATTTCATCCAGAGGAGTTGGGTACAACAGAACCCTGCTGCCACATACTCTGCCTCTGCAGTGGATAGTGCCACAGTGTTCTGTTTCTTGCTAAACCAGGAGATTAGAGAGGATCCTAGGAAGTGACAAGCACCTGAAGTGCTTTTCCTATCAACTGAACATCCAGCATAATCAGAGTCGGTGTAACTAATCAAGTCAAGACTGGAATCACTAGAATACCATAGACCTAGGGTGGGAGTTCCTATCAGATATCTGAAGATTCGTTTTAGTGCAGAAAAGTGACTTTCTTTTGGAAAGCTTTGGAACCGAGCACTGACACAGACACTATACATAATGTCTGGTCTGCTAGCAGTCAGATATAGTAGAGAACCTATCATTCCCCTGAATAAACGACTGTCTACAGGTTTCCCAGATTCATCCTTGGAAAGTTTAGTAGAGGAACCCATAGGGGTGGATGCAGCTTTTAGATTAGTGAAGCCAAAACGTTTTAGCATATTATTCAGATACTTTGTCTGACTAATAAAGATGCCTTTACTTGTTTGTTTAATTTGCAGACCAAGGAAGTAATTTAGTTCACCCATAAGACTCATTTCAAAGGCACCTTTCATCGAGATTTCAAAGTTTTTGCACAATTCTTCATTTGAGGATCCAAAGATTATATCGTCTACATACACCTGTACTAACAAAATGTGTTCATCCTGATTTTTTATGAATAAAGTTTTGTCTACTTGACCCCTACGAAATCCATCATTGATTAAAAATTGACTTAGCTTATCGTACCAAGCTCGTGGAGCTTGTTTTAGGCCATATAATGCTTTATTCAGTTTATACACATAATCAGGATGCTCAGGATCTTCAAATCCAGGAGGTTGTTCAACATATACCTCTTCTTTTAAATCCCCATTTAGAAAAGCGCTTTTTACATCCATTTGGTATAATTTAAAACCTTTTGAGGCTGCAAATGCACACAATAACCTAATTGCTTCCAGCCTAGCTACAGGTGCAAAAGTCTCATCAAAGTCTATGCCTTCCTCTTGATTGTAACCCTGTGCCACTAACCGAGACTTATTTCTCACAATCATACCAATTTCATCTGATTTATTTCGATAGACCCATTTAGTTCCTATGATAGTTCTGTTCTTAGGTCTAGGAACCAAATCCCATACTTTGGTTCTTTCAAATTGATGCATTTCTTCATGCATTGCAGCATTCCAAAATTCATCCTCTAATGCTTCATCTATGTTCTTAGGTTCTATTAGAGATATAAAAGCAGTATGTTCTGGATAAGCTTTGGATCGAGTTACCATACCTTGATTTATGCTTCCAATCACCAGAGAGGGTGGATGTCGCTTTTGAATGTGCAGAGGAGCTTCTGGTCTATGTATGTTTTCAGGGTCTGCTCCTTGACCTTCTTCTGTGTTCGTTGTTGCTTCAACAGCCCCTTTAGTTTGACTCAAATTGAGTCCAAAATCCTCATCATCTTCTAAGCTTTCTGCACACTTACTGGTAGACTCATCAAATACCACATGAATGGACTCCTCAACCTTGAGGGTCCTTTTATTATAGACACGATAAGCTTTGCTATTCACAGAGTATCCTAAAAAGATAGCTTCATCTGATTTTGAATCAAACTTCCCTAGCTGATCTTTAGTATTTAGAACAAAACACTTACATCCAAATGGATGAAAATACCCTAGATTAGGTTTTCTGTCCTTCCATAGCTCGTATGGTGTTTTGTTCAACTTTGATCTAATTAGGGCTCTGTTTGTAATATAGCAAGCAGTATTGATTGCCTCTCCCCAGAACTGTTTTGGTACCCCATAATCATTAAGCATAGTTCTGCCTATTTCAATGAGAGTTCTGTTTTTCCTTTCCACAACTCCATTCTGCTGTGGAGTCCTAGGTGCAGAAAAATTGTGTGTAATTCCTTTTTCATTACAGAATTGTTCAAAGTTTTCTGACACAAATTCTCCACCATGGTCACTTCTGATACTGATGATTTTAACTTGTTTTTCGTTTTCAACTCTAATAGAGTAGTTCTTAAATTCAGACAGAGCTTCATCTTTACTGGAGAGAAAGAGTACCCAAGTATATCTAGAAAAGTCATCCACTATCACAAAAGCATAGTATTTTCCACCTAGACTTTTTATATTACTAGGGCCAAATAGGTCTAGATGCAGCAGTTCCAAGGGTCTTTTAGAAGAAATGACTGTTTTGGTTTTGAAGGATGTTTTAATTTGTTTTCCTCTAGCACAGGCATCACAGAAGAATTCTTTCTTACTGTTGATCTTAGGAATTCCTCTTACTAATCCTAGATTAACTAACCTGGATAAGGTACCAATCCCTACATGACCTAGTCTGCGATGCCACTCTATCTGATCATTTTTATCCACAGTGATTAAGCATGTTTCATTGAAAGCAGCTTCGTCATTTAGATCAATGGTGAACAGTTTACCCTTTCGTTTACCAGTAAAAAGAATTTTACCCGAGGAGATTTCTTCAACAAAACATTTTTCTGGCTCAAAGACTACTCTGTTTTTATTACCACACATCTGACTTATGGAGAGTAAGTTGTGCTTAAGGTCTTTCACTAGCATGACATTATTTATTGAGGGCATTGATCCTATTTGACCTTTTCCTAGAATTTCAGTACTAAAATTATCACCAAAGAAAACTTTACCTTTCTTCCCTAGAGCCAGATTAGTAAAAAGTCTTTTATCCCCTGTCATGTGGTGTGAGCATCCACTGTCAAGAATCCAAACGCTGTCTGCCATGCTCACTTGGAGACAGGTCTGCAAAAAACAGTTTTATTTGTTGGTTTTAGGTATCCAAACTAGTTTGGTTACCCTTCCCATCTGAATGATCTTTGAACAATTTTGACTTGAGTGTCCTATTTCATGACAGTTAAAACAATTTAGATTTTTTGCTCGACTTTCTTTGGCCAACCGTTTTCTACAATCAGCAATATGATGTCCAATTTTATGACAATAGTAACACTCAGTACTTCTGATCTTATGTGATTGTTTGTAATTCTTATTAAGCTTTCTCCCCAAAACCCTTTTCCCTTTACATTCTGTTTTCAGACTTTCAATTTCAGCTTCTGAAGTTCCTAACTTGTTTCTTAGTTCACAATTTTCAGTCAAAGCATCTAGTAGTTTATTTTCTATAACCAACTTTTCAGCTTTTAGAGATGCAACTTCTTCTAACAGGTTTTCATACTTAGACTTAATTAACACATGCTTGTGTTTAACCCTCAAGAACTCGTTTTGAATGTCCAAAATAGTTTCATCTAATTGTTCATCTTCACTACAGCAGTCAGAGTAATAAAGATTTACCTGTTTTTCGCTTTCCTCAGTGTCACTTTCTTCAACCGCCATGTATGCTTCCTGTTTTTTGTCCTCCTCATCTTCGTCATCTTCACTGCAGCTCCAAGTTGCAGCAAAAGCCTTCTCCTTCTTCAGCAAGGGACAGTCAGCTCTGATGTGCCCAGCCTTTCCGCATTTGAAGCATCCAGTTTGAGGCTGAACCCTTTCAGAACTCGTACCTTCTCTTTTGTTCTTTACCCAGAGACGATTTGGTCTGCTGAGTTCCTTCTCGTTATCCCCATCTCTTGCTTTATTGGCGAAGCTTCCTCTTCTCTTTTCTTTTCTAATTCGTAGCAGTTTAGCTACATGCTTGCTGAGCATCGCTAGTTCGTCATCCTCCATTTCTTCCAGACAGTCGAGATCATCTTCCTGAGTCACGGCCTTGAAAGCTATTCCTTTCTTTTCCTTCCTAGGTTCTTCCACTTCTTCCCTTTTCAATTTCTCTTCATGTGTTACCAGGGATCCAATTAGCTCATCCAGACTTAGCCTTGTAAGATCCTTGGACTCCTCGATAGCGGTTACTTTAGGAGTCCATCTCTTAGGTAAGGCCCAAAGAACTTTCCTTACCAAATCGGCACTGGCATACTCCACCTCCAGATTCCTTAGGCTGTTTACGATTGTAGTAAATCGCTCTATCATTTCTCTGATTGATTCCTCTGGCTTCATGATGAATGATTCAAACTCCTGCTTCAAGCTATTGATTCGAGAGATCTTCACATGTGATGTTCCCTCATGTGCTATCTGGAGCTTATCCCAGATCTCCTTGGCCGTCTTACACCCTGACACCCTGTGATATTCCTCGGGACCTAGGGCACAGTACATTAGATTAGTGGCCTTTGAATTCATTTGGAAGTTCCTCTTGTCGACCTCGGTCCATTTCCCGCGAGCTTCCTTTACTTCGAGTGGACCATCCATTACTATGTTCCACAGATCAGGATCCGTCGATCCTATGAAGAGCTCCATTCGATTACGCCAGTAACCATAATGAACCCCTTCAAATCTTGGTGGCCTCGTTTGAGAGAATCCATCCGCCATGAAAATTCCCGTTCCAGTTGCTGACCCCGAGCTCATCTTCTCCGCGGACACTTAAGCCTCTTGTGCAGGAGCCGGGCTCTGATACCACGTGTTGGATCGTTGAGCGCGAGACGATGGGATTTTTCTTCGGTGGTTTCCCC